TGTACAAACACCACCATTTGTAGTGGTGAGCTTATGCATGGACTCCGTCATGCTGAGAAAGAACTTGACATGCACACTAACGTGGGCAGCAGAGTTCTCGACGAAGAAGGTTTTCTAGGAAGATTTCTACCTCCAGTCTATCACGATGAAGATGGAATTGCCAATGTACTTGCTATGCGCGAGATGATTGCCGCAGGATACCGCATTACTATGGATACTGATGCTGACAATGCTTTTATTGTGCATTGTGATGGAAACAGAAAATGCGATTTGTGAATCGTAAGGGTGTGTATGTGTTGGAGCAACTTGGAGCAAATGTCGAACCAGGTGCCAAAGAAACAAGTGCGATGTACCGTCACCAGTTAAGCAACTTCAATAATCAACTCCATTTCGAACTTTCTTCAAACAGACAGAATGGATATGCTGGACTCGAGATGACCTCCAAGATGGCAACCGTTCAAAAGAACAAGGAAGGATTCACTCTAAGACAAGTCAAGGCTGTAAGCGAGAAGTGCAATACACATACTCAATGCTCCAAGCACCAAAAGTCTGAAATATGCAATCCGATCTGGTCTCATCAAGAACTGTCCTATCACCGAAGAAGCTATCAATCATGCTGAAGCAATCTTTGGACCTGACTTCTCTACATTGAAAGGCAAGTCAACAAGACCAACTCCAAAGAAGACATACAACGAATTCTTCAGTCCACCAGAGGAATTATATCAGCACAATTGATCTATTACCATCTGTATTGATCACATGGAGATCGAGAATGCTAAGTTTCTCACCTGCATTGATACCACTGTGCGATATTGCTCATGTATTCCCATACAAAACCTGAAGACTGACCCTGTATTTGAAGCATTGGAAAAGATATTCCGCCGCTACAACAAGGCAGGCTTTCAAGTCAAGATCATCAAGTGTGATCGGGTGTTCATTCCTCTCGCGGATGATATGCTACACGATATGGGTGTTACTATTGACCCGACTGCAGCTGGAGACCACGAGCCTACCGCTGAGCAAAACAATAGGACGCTGAAAGAAAGAGTCAGAGTAGCTCTTGCACGATTACCCTACAAAGTGGCCCCAAAGGTGATCGTTGAATGTCTTGGACGTTGAGCCGCCAAGCTATTGAATGTCTTTCCCAGAAAGACAGTATCTCATCACATTTCAGTCCGCAGCAACTCATTGATAATGTCAATATCAACTGCAAGAGTGACATGGTTGCTGAGCTTGGACAATATGTTCATGCAATTGGGACAGATTCCAACAACTCGATGGAACCCCAAAGTATCAAAGCAATTTACATTGAACCTACAAAGGGAAAACGTACTGGGCACCAAGTGCTCAACCTCAATACTAAGAAGATGATTTCCCGACCCAAGGTCGTTGTAATCCAGCGTGTTGAAGCTGGGGCTGCTGCCGAAGGTGTTACTTCCATGAAGTTCTTTGATAAGAAGAGAGATTTGGAGACATTTCAAGATGGCGATCAAATTGCAGGAGTGGATGATTACTTAGAAGAAGCCTTTGATCAGGACTATGAACCTGAAGATGAAGATCTACATGGACAATTCGATGATATCGATGACTCCAAAAGAGAAGAGCTCTTGGCAGATGCAGACAATGATGTCGATGATATGCCAGAACTCACTGTCAGATTCCAAGGAGATGACAACTATGAATCAGACGACGATTCGGGTGATGAAGGCAACAAAGAGGAAGAACCTATTGTGGCCGATTTGGATCACCATCAAGAAAATGCCGATAGAAGAACCAATGATATTGGGAGCCTTGTTACTGATCTGGAGGACCTACAAGAGCCGCCAGAAGAAGAGATTGTATTGGAGCCTGAAGAAACGCCTCGAGTAGCAAAAGTCACTCAATCTGGGCAAACGTATGCGCAAGCTGCAATGTCTGGGCTGAACCTTTCTCAAGTTCCAAAGAAACCAAGAGAATGGCCTTCGAGCAGGAGTGGCAGTTCTGCCAATAAGAACAAGAATCGAGTTGCGAGCATCAAGAAAGAGAATTGAAACCATTGAAGAACAAGTTAAAATCTGGTATTTGTACCAAAGAAGGAAGTTGCAGTACTAAAGACAGTAAAGCTATCCTTGAAGGAAAGCACAATCTATGTTTCCAACAGATTGGGAATGAGATGAAAGAGAAGCAATTCAAAAAGACAATTAAGGTTGCCTAGTATACCAAGGCAATGGAACTTGTGAATGGTTATCGCGAGAGGACACTGCAAGTCCAACTGCTTTGCAGGAAGCAATCACCACTACTTGTGTTATTGATGCACACAAAGGTAGAGATATAATGACGATGGACATGCCTAACGCTTTCATTGTTGTTGATGAAAAACAGCAAACTATCAGATTTCATGTTGATGATCTTATGTCAAGTCACATGGATCCGAAAGTAAATGACGAATTTGCTAAGTGGTTGAACATGAGATATGGTTCAATCAAGGCATGTATAATTGTCAGAGGAAAGATACACAGATATCTTGGAATGACTTTGGATTTCTCGGTGAAAGGAAAACTCAAGATCCGCATGGACGACTATGTCAAGAACATGTTGGAAGATTTTCCTATCCAGTTCAACAAGGATTCAATGTAGGAAACACCAGCTGGTAACAATTTACTGGAAGCTGGTAAAGGGAAGCTACTCAGTGCTGAGTACCGTCAGATCTTTCATACTACTGTTGTAAGGGGACTTTATGTCTCTAAGAGAGCTTGTTTGGATATGCATCCAACGATTACTATTCTTGCCTCAAGAGTTCAAGAATCTACAGAGTCTGATTGGAAGAAGTGTGTTTGCATGATGCGATATTTGTTTTGTACATTGTTGTATCACCTGACACTTTCCGCAGAATCACTACGAGTCATGAAATGGATGATCGACGCATCATTTGC